AAAAAAAAAATGTGAATAAATTTCATAATATAAATAATTTATTCTCTCCCTTCTAAACTTTGCATGTGATTTTCATTCACTCTCTTACCACTACAAATAGGTAACACAATAAGTAACTCTCAAGGCCTGAACTTACAGGGAAGGTTTATTTTCAAATGTTTATAAAGGGAGTACATCCTCTTATTCATCCTCTTATTTAGACTATGCCCCTACCATCAGATAAATGCTTAAGAGTTTTACAAATGAATTATGGGTTACCGCCTCAGAAATCCAAGGACGGGTCACTATGAGTCGGGTCAGACTCTACAGCACACAACAACAACAACATCCTGATTAAAATTCTTTTTGGAAATTGCTAGGATAGAAATTATAAGCAAATACACACGCACCCAAAAAATGAGAAAACATTTTTCTTTTCAGAAAAATGAAACAAGATCCACACCTAACACTATACAAAAAACTAACTCAAAATAGATCAAAGACCTGAATGTTAAAGATATGAAGTTTCTGGAAGATAATATAGGGACAAAACTATAGGACTTAATTATTTTCAGTTAGAGATTACCGAACACAACTACAAATGCACAAGCAACAGAAGAAAGATAAATTAGGTAAGTGAGAGGTATTAAAAATTAAATATTTATGCTCATCAAAAAACTTTATCAAGAGTAAAAAAGGGAACCAATTGATTGAGGGGGGAAATATATGGAATAATGTATCTGATAAGGGTCTGAACTTTAAAATATATGTAAAACTTCAACTCAACAACAAAACGACAAACAATGCAATTGAGAAATAAGCAAAAGACATGAAGAGACACTTCACTAAATAGGACATTCAAGTGATCAACAAACACATGAAAAGATGCTCAAGATCACTAGCCACCAGAAAAATGCAAATCAAACCACAATGAAATACAATGTCACCCTTAATCAAAAAAACAGAAAACAACAAATGCTGGCCACATTGTGGGGAGTCCAGAACACTTATCCACTGTTAGTGGGAATGTAACCACTATCAAAAATAGTATGATGCTTCCTCAAAAAGCTAGAAATAGAAAAATACCCTATGATCCAGCAATCCTACTCTAGAGATCTAATAACTATGACATGAATAGACACATGCACACCTATGTTCATTGCAGCATTCTTCACAGTAGTGAAAAGATGGAAACCATGTAAGTGTCCACCAGTGAATGAATGGATGAACAAAAATGTGATACATGCATACAATGTAATATCATGCAGCACTAAAGAATAATGATGAGTTTGAAAAGTATCTTGTAACATAGATGAATCTGGAGGACATTATCCTGAGTGAAAAAAAAAACTCAAGCACAAAAGGTCAAACATATGCTCCAACTTTCGTGAAAAGACAAAAATAGATATACACATAGAAATCAAAGTTCTTTGCTGGTCAGAGACGGGAAAGAGTAGGAGGAAGAATCAATCTCTAGACAGTAGACATTTGTTAGTTTTAGTTATGGGAAAGGCAACATCAAATGTCAGTGAAGTGAGCACAACTTAACCAATGTAAAAGATGACACTAAGAAATATACTCGAATAAAGGACATTATTGGTAAATGCTAAAACATATACAATTTGGTACCAACAACAGTAACAACCAAAAATACATGAATGTTTGCATAGATAGATATGTATGCACATATGTGTATAAGAAAATATATTTGTGTATATACATGAGCATATATAGGTGTATCTGTAGGCATATCTATATACATGTTTATGAGTACTGCACATATATTTATATACATAATAAATTGCATAGAGGGCACAATCATGGATATCAGATATAATAAAACACCTTGCAGGATTGTTTTATTGAGTTTGAATGTTTAGGACCATAGTCTCCTGGGACATCTCAGTCAACTGGTACTATATAGTCTATAAAGATTATGTTCTACATCCCAGTAGTATCTGTGGTCTTAAAAGCTTGCAAATAGCTATCCAAGATAGAATTATTGGTGTCTCCTCTGGAGTAAAAGAGAAAGAAGGAAAGCAAAAACTCAAAGAAGAAATAAGTCTATAGGACCAATTGCCTACACAGCCTCACCTACCCATACACAAGAACTAGGTGGTTCCACTACCAACTGTTCTGATTAGGACCACAAAAGATAGTTCCAGATAAAATGGGAGAAAACTGTAGAACAACACTCAAAATATGTTTAAAAGATCATACTTACTGGACTTGCAGAGACCTGGGGAACCCCTGACACTATTGCTGTGAGATACCCTTTTACACTTTGAAGTGAAATTACTCCCAGAGGTCACTATATAACTAAATAGCAGATTGACCCATAAAATAAACAATATCACCCATGATATATATCACCATCCACCCTGTATATTAAAAAAGAAAAAAAAAAATGAGATCAAATGGTCAACATTTACCCTAAAAAAA